CAAAACAGTGTCCATATTGACACTGTGTCCAAAACAGTGTCCATATTGACACTGTGTCCAAAACAGTGTCCATATTGACACTGTGTCCAAAACAGTGTCCATATTGACACTGTGTCCAAAACAGTGTCGGGGTTCGAGAGAAGCTGGATGTGGAGGAGGATCCTCTCCGATTCGAGGCGATTCGGTCGTCGCGTCGGGCGGTGGGGGGAAATTCCTTTTGGCTTTCCACATTCTTTGTGAGAGTGGGCTTTTTTTTATTATTGCGATCGAAGGTATCGGTTATGATGTTATTATGGTTTGTATTTCTTCTCGTCGATACCGATCTGTGACATCGTGGCGCATATTTCTTGAATATGTCATTCAATTGATCATACGTGGTATTTATGTTCCTTTCGGTAATGTCTGGAAAGTTTCAGTACGATTTATTCGACGTTGTCAGAGAAGGAGAGATAATGAAAGAACGATTCGAAAAATCGCGGTATCGCTTCGCCATAAATGGAGACGCTCGCGTGCACGTGACGCATGTCTGAGCCGTTCTCGGTCCCGTGGAAAGCAAATCTTCATCAAGGCTCTCGATTTCATTCCCGACCGGCACGAGCCCGCGGGCATTCGCTCGCTTTCAAGGGAGATCCTCACGGTTTCATCAGACGTTTCGTCCCCTTAACGTGTGGTGATTGACACCGTTTCGAAAGGTTGGCTTCAACGATAATCCCTCACGATTTTCCACCTCATCAAGGCTTCTTTTTTTTTTCTCATGGACTAGTCATTTGGCTTCTAATCCTTGAGAAAGCGATGTGCACTTTTGGCATCCTCGAATTGCAGTCCTCGTATCGTCTATGCTGACATCAAAAGGTGGGCGGAAGATTCACGTTTGAACTGGATGAAACACCACCGGGAACGACATGGAACGAGTCGACGAGGGAAGGGTCTCGACACGAGGCAGGATCGTTTCGTATGTAAATCCGGCTGCGAGCTCGGAAGGACTCCGCAGCCTTGCCCCGGGTGCAATGGGTTCGGTGGAATCCCATGTGGGGATGGGAAGGTGCGGTCGCGCTGGAAGGTCATTCCGTGCTCGTCCGTTCGTTACTCGTTCGCTGTGTCGTTCGGAGTCCTGGTCGAATTGCAGTGGGAAGAGGGGGAGTGTTTTGAGGGAAAGTCATTCCATGTTAGGAGGGGGTTTCGATCGGGAGGTGAGGAGAGCGAGCCTGGAGGGGAGGAGAGGATCATGGCTGGGTTCCACAAATACATGGTTTGTGCTCTGTCCGTCATTCTGCACTTCCCAGGAGGCTCGGCGAAAGGTGAACTACCGGGCGTCGTGAAAGAGTGTTGTCCTGGCGAGGGCAGGTATGTGGTGGTCGAGTCGGGAGGCATCCGGTGTCAGGGTCTCACCGAAAGCGAGATTGCGTCTCCCCCGATGCCAGATTGCAAGGACACGAAACTAGTGCTCGTTCACGAAGCCTCTACTCACCTCCTGTCGACCGGCCCCCATTGCCACGGTGAATTCCTCATCGGCGACGTGGCGAATGCGACCGTCGTCGAAGCTTTCCTCCTCTGTTCCGGTGCCGAATACGAGACGGAAAAAGGGAGGATCCTCGTTAAGAAGTGCTGTCCCTTGGATGAGGGATACGATCTGACTCTGGACAAATGCATTCCCCGTCCCTTCGCCTGGACTCTCCAAGCCTTCAGTTCGAAGAGGGAGAAGTTTCGCATGTTTGCACCGGATGAATTTCGACTCCAGATAGACGACATGGGTCCAATTCCTTGCGCCAAACACTTCTTAATTCCGATCACGTGCCACGATTGTCCGAAAGCGAACTGGCCAGTGTTTCAGGACAGAGGACATCTTCATGTTCCAGCATTGAATTTAACATTATCCTCCGATCAGTTCTGTTTGGATCATGGACGTTGGCCGGATGGATCCTGGAAAAATCTGGCTCGAATCTGGCAGAAAATCGAAAGGAAGATCCAAGACTGCGAGGGGAAGTTGTGTGTTCAGAAATGCTGCCCGGAGACTCATTTCATGGTAGATCCAGCCGAACTCGTGCCACAGCGCAGCTGGACTGGAAAGCTCCGGGATCCCAAGCAACAGATCCAATCCCTTCCCGATTTAGAGGAATATCATCAGATGATCACGGATTTCCCACTATGTTCCCATCATCCGCCTGTTATACTTCCATTAATGCCTGAATCCGACTCTGATTCGAGTCTTAATTTTTACTTGACCCGGACCGGAGGCTTGACGACGCGGTTCTTCGGTGGCGTCACCTTCCACGTCGACATCCCACAATACTGCATCGACGAGAGAAGGAACAGCAATGGGACACTGGAAGCAATCGCCTGGGTCTGCCCTCAGAGAGGAGGGGAGATTGCGCGTGCTGCTTTGATTCTCGCCCTCCTGTCGTCCGTGCTCCTGTTCGTCACCTTCCTCCTCATCCTCCTCTCCCCACAAAGAAAAAGCTTTCCCGGGAAGATACGCCTCCGAGAGGAGGGGAGATTGCGCGTGCTGCTTTGATTCTCGCCCTCCTGTCGTCCGTGCTCCTGTTCGTCACCTTCCTCCTCATCCTCCTCTCCCCACAAAGAAAAAGCTTTCCCGGGAAGATACGCCTACTCTATGTCGGCTGTCTACTGTTTACCACCGTTTCTGGTTGTGTCACCCTCGACGCCTTTGACTTTGGAATCTCCTATCTCCTCTGCCTGGCCACTGGTATCCGTTCCCAAATTGTCAATTCATCGCCAATCATAGCTTTTTTTTTTTAGCTTTTAAGTTCTTGGAATTCTTTCAGAATTGGGCAGTATCTACTGGGGCCTGTCCGCGTTCTTCTGGCTCAACGTTATGAGCTTCGATCTCTGGTGGAACCTCAGGTTGGCGTTGATGATGGGCATAAGAGAATTCTGATATCATAGAATGTATCAAAATCCTGTTTATTTTGGAATCGTGATATCTTAAAGGCATCCCATTGAGGGCTATTTGCCATACATTTAACTTCGCATATTGGTAAGAGTTCATCAGCTCTTAACTCGATCTGCATTGCGACTGCACATCCCCGATACTCGTACTTCGGCATGCAGGAAATATGCGTTTTCCTCAGGAGTAGATCGTTTTCTTCAAAATGTTGCGTGCAATATCTAATATCGTCTCTCGGTCTCTCGACGGGAGCAGCTCCATGCAGCCGCCTTTCGCGAGACGCGGACTGGAGGGGAAGAGGCTGTTGCAGTACTGCCTATACGCATTCGGGATGCCGGCGGTCGTGGCCGCGGTGGCGTGCATCCTTCTCTTCGTCGCGGGGACCCCGTCCACCAGCACCAGCGCAGCGTCTGGCGTGGGTGAATGCCGAAAGCTCGGTTCGCGTCCGTCATTCGGTCGATGTGAGTGGATGCAATTTGACGGTGACATCGGGTGACATTCTTTCGGGTCATTTTAATGGGATCCATTCATTCGACCCACGGACTGCGTTTGGATTCAGATTACACTTTTTCTTTTCCCCTCAATTCTCGCAGTTGTTACTGGTTTCATTTGGTGTTCCCTCGGGTCAGTGGCGCTACTTCTGGTGACCAATGCCATTTTCTTCGCCCTCACGTGTCGTTACTTGATCCAGAACACCAAAGACGTCGCTCTTATGATTCGAAACCAGAAACAGACGTACACGTGAGTTCCATCAAACGGTTTAAAGACGTAGAATTTCTTTGTCGTTGCTCAAGCAGTATTACTGTCATGTTTTCTTCTTTCAAGGAGTAAGTAAGAATTAGAAATCGGATCTTTGTGGAACTATGCAGTTACCCTGATCTGTAATCCAGTAATCCTGTAAATCCTGTAAGCAACTCCACGACGTTACGTTCGCGATACGTTGAAAAACCAAATGAGTAATGATGAGCATAATGACTTTAACTGAGAGAAAGAGAGAGTTCTATTTCATGAAATGACTATGAATCCGATGAATTTACCTTGTTTCTTCCAATCTGAGGTGTCCCTCCATGTCTCCATACAGCTTCTGGCTGTACGTGAAGTTGTTCGTTTTGATGGGAGGGACCTGGCTCGTGGGCGTGGTCAGTTACTTCACGAACACGCTCGAGGGCGACATCGTCTCGTTGGTTCTCTTCGGCCTCCAGGGAGTCTTCATCTTCCTCATCTTCGTGTGCAAGAAGGAAGTCGTGGAGGACGCAAAGAGGAAGGCCGGGGAATGGCTCGCCGATCGATGGTCGACGGGGGAAGTATGACGAATGATGCTTGGGCTTTTTTTCTGTGCAGCGATTGTATGCGTTACTGGGTGGGCATTTCTTCTCCTTGAGCTCGATCCTAGGAACTTTCTTTCATGTTTGGTCGTCTTCCGATGCGTGAATTATGAGCCTTGGATGAATAATCTTTCATCGATCTTTGTCTATGACGGTGTCTGTATGTAATTGGTCTGTTTTCATGAAAAAAAACGCATTTTCTTAAGAGAAGAGGACTTCTTCATACGTTGACAAATATTCGGTGCCTCATGGTGCGTGCTCGACTCTTTTCATGTGCTTTCTTTCATGTGCTTCAAGAATCCCCCAAGAATGCGCCAGGCATCGAGTCCTCTGTAACGGCATTCGAAGGAGAAGCATCATTTGAATTTGGAGCACTGCAGTGTTCAAGATGAAAAACCGAATTTTATTCAGGAGATGCACAAGTGAACGTCGGCAATTCTCACGGAGAATTATCCCAAACTGCCCGGTTCTCAGAGTCCGAAGAACCTTATTTTGTTTTGATATGGACTGCATAGGGAACGACATCGTACCAAACGAACCAATAGTGCTTGGAGAGGTGAATCCGCTCGATTTCACTAAATGCTACATTCCCAAGCTGCGGTTTTCCATGTAGAACAGGCGAATTTTATCGCTAGGAGAGGAAGGACTGACGACCTTGCCCTCCACTACCCCTTTGACCCCTTTAGAAATAGGGGATACAAGTATGTATCCTCTCTTTCGCCGTCGGTCAGTTGATATCACTTCATTTAAAAAAAAACATATATTTTTGCAGAATTCAGCTCCGCCTACAGAACTTCGTCAACATCCTTCTGGCTGAACGAGAACGGTTTTGACGTTTTGTGGCCCTCAGGTGAGGGATGATAATCTGTTCGAATGAATGTTATGGAAGCGGATGATCGGCCTGGAGTTCTGTACGGAATTATACCACCAACATTAAAAAAAAAGTCAGTTCATCTCACAACGTGAATCAAACTTGTCAAAGGAAATGTCTTCGACCGTGACAGTTGCACGATAAATGATCGCTGGAGAAGGAAAAGACGGAGGATTGCGGTTCCCATTCCAAAGGTGCTGCTTAATCACCGACACGAGATGGCCTTCCACTCCGACCTGCGACATGTTTATGGCGTGTCGGAAAACATCGTAAAGAAGAAGGAATATTATCAAGGAAGCCGGTATCCCGAGTGGAATCCCGAGGGGCTCGAGAGAGCAATGAAGTCAATAAATAAAAAACTTAAAGGCGATACGCTGAAAAATGTTGATATGGCCACAGGTATTGAAACGGACGGCAATCACTGTGAAACGGACTGCAAAACTAAATTACGTGCAATATATCCCAATCAGGAACACGGGGACATTTGCCCCCGCCCTGGACGGTATTGAGTTTCTTAAATCGCGTCACCTCTGGGGCAAACTTTGACGTTCGATCGCCTGGAAGGACTTCCCTTGAGGAAAAATCACCCACGATCACATGCTGGGTCACATGTGAGAGGAATGTGATCCATCGTGTGATTTTCCGTCTCACACCCGATGTCACCCCCATATCTTATCGGATTGGCGGGTGGTTGAGTGTTTGCGCATGCGCATGAAAAATAATGGGATGTGTGGTGGTTTTCTTATTAGAATTTGGAGGAAACTCGGATGGTTCTGCCTGGAAAAGAAAAAAAAAAGCACGAAATCATAGATAACACCTGTGTAGTTCCTTGACCCTGGTCCACAGTACTCCAGGAATGTTCGTAGCGATATCCTCCACCATTCATTTCTTTAAAATATTCATTAAACTTTACAGATAACCATGAACGGATGAAGAGAAAGCGAAAGTGAGACACAAAAACATGGGGCGCACTGGGTCACACTGTCCCAAAATCACATGGTTCCTCACACTGGAGACTTTTCTATAAGGGGTGGTTTTAGTGTAGCCGGTTGTGGAGGCAAATCGGGAGGCCTTGACCTTCAGTAATGAGGAAAAACTATCCCATTTAGAAATGTACCCGTCTATCTACGATACCAGAGCTGAGGCTTCTCTCTACTCCTCGATTCCTGCTCCTTTTCTGAACTGCCGTCTCAAAACCGGTTTCCTTCTCGGTGGACGAGCGTGTATTGACGGATTGGCATTAGGGAAACGTGTCCTGATCGGAAGGACCGCTCAGGTGCAGAGGAAGAAAATAGAAAAAAGTTGAATGGATATTGAATGGTGTAATGGTGACGTCCTTTTACTCTGTGACGATTGTTCTCTCTCTTTTCCACCGGAGGTGCAGATGCACCAGTCTTCCCAGACTGCAAAGCAGAAGAGGAACTAGTGAAAATCGAAACTAACAAGGTCGATTCTGACCTGTGGAAAATTCCTCGTTGCCATGGTGAATTCCTCGTGGGTGAGGGGGAAAATGCCACCGTCTTCGAGGCGTTCCTCCTCTGTCCCTCCGATGCCGAGAGTGAGATAGCAAAAATTCTCACCCAGAAATGTTGTCCCTTGAACGAGAGCTATGATGTGATCCAGGAAAAATGCATACCCCATCCCCACAACTGGACTCAAACGATATTTAGTCGAAGGACGGGAGAGTTTCGGGATTTGTCACGAATCGAATATCGACTCCATATCAAGAACTTCTCTTCGTTTTCTTGCGTAAAGCTTTTCCTTGAATTTCCTGACAAGGTCTACGTTCCTTGGCGCAGGCATCCGATGCTCCTGAACGACGGACTTCTCTATGTCCATACCTGGAATTCCACGTTCGGACACAATTCAACGAACCCTGATAGAGTCCACGAAACAATCATGACAGTCGACATAAAGCAGAAGGGATTTTTTTTTTATCGCAGAGGAATCCATTGAATCGGGGCTGAATTTATGTTGACATTTCTACCGAAAATAGTGTAGCATTGAATCAATATTTAGTCAATGTGGGTGCAAAAACGGTGACGATCGTCGCGTTGAGTCAATGTAGATTCAACATAGAAGTATAAACCTTTTCCCCCCTTCCTTCCCTTCCAGGCTACTGTCATCAAAACAGAAACAGGTGGCAGAAAGATTGATCAATTTGGACTGCATTTACTCGGAAAAAATGAAAAAGTGAAATCCGTATATTTTCCTGGAAAAGCAAAGAAGGTTTCCTCGAGAAGCAATCAGCCATGTTCCCAGCCCAGAAACAGCGAATGCACAGACCCCTGAGGTAGAGGGGGACTTTAGTGCTAGGGCCAGGAAAGCACTCTGCCTCGCACTGTGGGTTAGAATGAGAAGAGCAGTGGGAGCTCCATAATTCATCTGTTCGATTTGAAAATCGGAGGAACTGATAAAATACATAAATTAATAAACGAGTGAAGGACAAGAGAAGAGGCCCAGGCCAATCACGAGTGCCATGGAAAGACAATGGAGCAAGTGTCTAAGGGCCTAAGAGCCAGGCACAACTTTAGCTAGTAGGCGCTTGGCCGTGAATTGGGGATTGGCCAGTGATAAGCACAAATTGAAAAACAGCATCGCAGTTGAATGAGGCTAATGCCATTCCAAAGACATTTTGTGCGTCTGCTGTCGGCAGGTGCTCATGGTGCATGGCCCCTCGGAAACATTTCTTTTTACCTGGAGAAGTTTTTCGCATTACAACGAGAGAAGTTCGGGGTTAGAAGGGCAGGGAACTCGTAGACAGCGTCAACATCAGCACGGAAGAGACACCGAGAAGCCGCAGACCAGCCAAAAAGGAAGGGCGGGCAGGGCGAGCCAGCATGAGACGTGGGCGAACCGGGAAGCGAGAGAGGACAGGCGAACCGCCATCACCGGAAGACGGGATTGCGCTGATGGCTCTGGTTGTTTTCTTGACGTCACTTCGATGTTCATGTGTCGAGTCAAACAGGGAAGATATTTACTCGGAGCACTTCTTGTGATATTCATCGACATCTTTGGCATGATAAAATCATTCCTCTAGTGAGAAGCCGCATGGCATAAGTACTTATCCACGAAATCTGTGCCTGGTTGGGTTACTCGTTTCGAGCAACACTGCGTCCGGTCCTGTCGTCTGCTCCTCAGACACTGGACACTACACACTGAAATGAGGTAAATTGAGAAATTTCAGGGCTTCTGTCACTTCCCATTCTAAAAAGAGGCAGAAAAAGGTAAGTTGTCTTAAACGCTCAACTATTCATGCAGATTTACGTACACTGAAAATGTTGATCTTTTCTTGGTCTGCTCGTGAAGTTACTTTTCAAACTTTTAAAATTGTCGGGAACGATCGGAGGTCTCTGGACTGCGGGAATCGTCTGCCATTGCATTGGCGTGCTCGAGGGTGACGTCGTCCTCATCCTTGCAAGCTTCTGTGGCCTCTTCGCCTTATGCGTCTTTCTGGGTGGTGGTGGGGGGGGGGGGGGGGGGGAGGGATGCCACCTTTGAATATAACAAAATATGTACAAATATTCAAAATATACTCACAGCTACCTTAAGCCAAGGCGCCAATCGATACTATGAGTGTGGCCTATTGCTTTAGACTCATGGAAAATAAGGATATTAGCTACTATAAAGCTTAATTGAATAAAAAAAATCTTGAGTTCAATATGGACAAAACAGTGTCCATATTGACACTGTGTCCAAAACAGTGTCCATATTGACACTGTGTCCAAAACAGTGTCCATATTGACACTGTGTCCAAAACAGTGTCCATATTGACACTGTGTCCAAAACAGTGTCGGGGTTCGAGAGAAGCTGGATGTGGAGGAGGATCCTCTCCGATTCGAGGCGATTCGGTCGTCGCGTCGGGCGGTGGGGGGAAATTCCTTTTGGCTTTCCACATTCTTTGTGAGAGTGGGCTTTTTTTTATTATTGCGATCGAAGGTATCGGTTATGATGTTATTATGGTTTGTATTTCTTCTCGTCGATACCGATCTGTGACATCGTGGCGCATATTTCTTGAATATGTCATTCAATTGATCATACGTGGTATTTATGTTCCTTTCGGTAATGTCTGGAAAGTTTCAGTACGATTTATTCGACGTTGTCAGAGAAGGAGAGATAATGAAAGAACGATTCGAAAAATCGCGGTATCGCTTCGCCATAAATGGAGACGCTCGCGTGCACGTGACGCATGTCTGAGCCGTTCTCGGTCCCGTGGAAAGCAAATCTTCATCAAGGCTCTCGATTTCATTCCCGACCGGCACGAGCCCGCGGGCATTCGCTCGCGGGCATTCGCTCCCTTTCAAGGGAGATCCTCACGGTTTCATCAGACGTTTCGTCCCCTTAACGTGTGGTGATTGACACCGTTTCGAAAGGTCGGCTTCAATTATAATCCCTCACGATTTTCCACTTCATCAAGGCGTCTTTTTTTTTTCTCATGGACTAGTCATTTGGCTTCTAATCCATGAGAAAGCGACGTGCACTTTTGGCATCCGCGAATTGCAGTCCTCGTATCGTCTATGCTGACATCAAAAGGTGGGCGGAAGATTCACGTTTAAACTGGATGAAACACCACCGGGAACGACATGGAACGAGTCGACCAGGGAAGGGTCTCGACACGAGGCAGGATCGTTTCGTATGTAAATCCGGCTGGGAGCTCGGAAGGACTCCGCAGCCTTGCCCCGGGTGCAATGGGTTCTGTGGAATCCCATGTGGGGATGGGAAGGTGCGGTCGCGCTGGAAGGTCATTCCGTGCTCGTCCGTTCGTTACTCGTTCGCTGTGTCGTTCGGAGTCCTCCTCGAATTGCAGTTGGAAGAGGGGGGGGAGGGAGTGTTTTGAGGGAAGTCATTCCACGTTAGGAGGGAGTTTCGATGGGGAGATGAGGAGAGAGAGCCTGGAGGGGAGGAGAGGATGATGGCTGGGTTCCACAACTACATGGTTTGTGCTCTGTCCGTCATTCTGCACTTCCCAGGAGGCTCGGCGAGAGGTGAACTACCGGGCGTCGTGAAAGATTGATGTCCTGGCGAGGGCAGGTATGTCGTGGTCGTGTCGGGAGGCATCCGGTGTCAGGGTCTCACCGAAAGCGAGATTGCGTCTCCCCCGATGACAGATTGCAAGGACACGAAACTAGTGCTCGTTCACGAAGCCTCTACTCACCTCCTGTCGACCAGCCCCCATTGCCACGGTGAATTCCTCTTCGGCGAAGTGGCGAATGCGACCGTCGTCGAAGCTTTCCTCCTCTGTTCCGGTGCCGAATACGAGACAGAGAAAGTGAGAATCCTAGTTAAGAAGTTCTGTATGGATCATGGACGTTTGCCGGATGGATCCTGGAAAAATCTGGCTCGAATCTGTCAGAAAATCGAAAGGGGAAGACTGCCAGGGGAAGGTGCGTGTTCAGAAATGCTGTTCGGAGACTCATTTCATCGTAGATCCGACCGAACTCGTGCCACAGTGCTGCTGGACTGGAAAGCTTCGGGATCTCGAGCAACAGATCCAATCCTTTCCCGATTTCGAGGAATATCATCAGATGATCACGGGTTTCCCCATATTTTCCCGTCATCCGCCTGTTATACTTCCATTAATGCTACAATCCGACTCTGATTGGAGTCTTAATTTTTACCAGACCCGGACCGGAGGTTTGACGACGCGGTTATTCGATGGCGTCACCTTCAACGTCGACATCCCACAATACTGCATCGACGAGAGAAGAAACAGCAATGGAACACTGGAGGCAATCACCTGGGTTTGCCCTCCGAGAGGAGGGGAGATCGCGCGTGCTGCCTTGATACTCGCCCTCCTATCGTCCGTGTTCGTCACCTTCCTCCTCATCCCACTATCCCCACAGAGGAAGAGGCTTCCCGGGAAGATCCGCCTCATCAATGTCGGCTGTCTACTGTTTACCACCTTTTCTGGTTGTGTCACCTTCGACGCCTTTTACTTCGGCGTCTCCTATCCCCTCTGTCTGGCGGCCGGTGTCCGTCCTCTCAATAGTTAATGCGTCGTCGAGTAAAGCATGTGTTTCCTTTGAAACTCTTGACATTATTTTAGAGTTAGGCAGTATCTACTGGGGCCCGACCGCGTTCTTCTGGCTTAACGTCATGAGATTCGAACTTTGGTGGAACCTCAGGTTAGCGTAGATGATGGGCGCAAGAGAATTCCGATGTCATGGAATGTATCGAAATCCTTTTTATTTCGGAATTGTAAAATCCTAAAGGGATCATCCCCTTTTCGGCTGTTTCGATTCATTTAACTTTGCATATTGGTGAAAGCACGCATCAGCTCTGAACTCGATCTGAATTGCAATTGCACATCCACAATACTCGCCCTTCAGCATGCAGGAAATATTATGTGTTTCCTGTATGTGTAGATTTTTTTCTTCAACCTTTTTCGGGTGCAGTACGTAATATCTTCTCTCCGTCTAAAATAATCGTCTCCGCCTCTCGACAGGAGCAGCTTCATGCAGCCCCCTTTCGCGGGACGCGGCTGGAGAGGAAAAGGCCGTTTCAGTACTGTCTACATGCCGTTCTGGATGCCGGCGGTCGTCGCCTCGGTGGCGTGCATTCATCTCTTCGTCAAGACGTCGCTCTTATGTTTCGAAACCAGAACAGACGTACACGTGAGTTCCATCAAATGGTTTATAGACGAATTTTTTTTTTTGTCGTTTCTCAGGCAGTATTACCATAACATTTTCTACTTTCAAGTAGTAAATAAGAATTTTGAATCGGATCTTTGTGAAAATGCGCTTCATTGCAGTTATTCTGATCTTTAATTATGTACATCACGACCTTACGTTCGTGATACGATGAAAAACGGCATAACGGTATAAACAAAAAACGGTTATGGCATTAACTGAGAGGAAGAGAGATTTCCATTTACGGAAATGACTCTATAAATATAAATGCGTTTACCTTGTCCCTCCCAATCTGAGGTTTCTTTTCATGTCTCCATACTGCTTCTGGCTGTACGTGAATTTGTTCGTTTTGATGGGAAGAACCTGGCTTGTGGTCGTGTTCATTTACTTCACGAACGCTCTCGAGTGCGACAAGGTCTAGTTGGTTTTCTTCCGGTCTCCAGGGAGTCTTCATCTTCGTGTGCAAGAAGAAAGTCCCGCAGGACGCGACGAGGAAGGCCGGGGCTCGCCGATCGATGGGCGACGGGGGAAGACGGAGTAATGATGCTTGGGCTTTTTATTTTCAATGCGGCGATTGTATGCGTTGGTGGGAGGGCTTTCCTACTCCTCGAGGTCGACCTTAGGCTCTTTCTTTCGTGTTTGGTCGGCTTCTGATGCATGAATGATGGGCCTTGAATTAATAATCTTTCATCGATCTTTTTCTATGATGGTGTCCGTATGAAATTGGTATTTTTTCATGGAAAAACAGTATTTTCGTAAGAGTCGAGAACTTCATCGATCTTTCTAAGCTGACGAATATTCGGGGCCTAATTGTGCATGCCCGACCCTTTTCCAAGCCGAAATTCTTCCCTGTGTTTCAAGAATCCCACAAGAAAGCTCCAGGAATCGAGTCCTCTGTCTCGGCATTCGACGGAGTCGCATCGTTTGAATTTGGAACTCTCGAGCGTTCAAGATGAAAAACCGAGGATACTTTGGGAGATTCTCAAGTGAACGTCGGCAATTATCACGGAGAATGATCCCAAACCGCCTGGTTCTCCGATTCCGAAGGACCTCACTTGGCTTTGAAATGGACTGCATGGGGAACGACATCATATCAAACGGACCAATGGAGCGTGGAGAAGTGAATCCGCTCGATTTCACTAAATGATGCATTCCCCAATCCGCGGTTTTCCTTGTGGACCAGGCGATATTTAACTCTAGGAGAAGAAGGGCAGATGACCTTGCCCTCCTCTCCCCCTTTGCCCCCTTCAACCCCCTTCCTCACTTTGAACGAGTGCCACAACATGATTTTGGAAAAAATCCACCTCCCGTCCCCAGAACTGTCACTTGTCACCGGTCACTTGGTATCATTTGGTTTCATTTAAAAAATCCCTCAAATATTGTTACATCATTCTGCTCCACCTACGGAATTTGGTCAGCATTCTTCTGGTTGAAGGTGAATAGCTTTGACGATTGGTGGCCCGCAGGTGAGGAATAATAATTAGTTCGAAGGAATGGTAGGGAAGTGGGTGATCGGTCTGAAGTTATGCGGGAAATTAATGGCTGCGACCATGACGGTCGCAGAGTAAATGATCGCTGGAGACGGATTATCATCACTCAGGTGAGGGATGATAATCTGCTCGAATGAATGGTAGGGAAGCGGATGATCCTTCCACTGCGACCTGCGACATCAAGGACTGAATGCCACGAATGCACTGGAGAAGATCGTCGACGTCTGGGCGTCGCAGAATTACGGAATTGGGCTGTTCGTTTGTTCACGCTCCAGCGAATGTGTAAGAAATGGGGCGATCTATTATATGCAACACCTACACATTCAAAATAATACAGAGAAATAGAATTTCCGAGTTAGAATGGAATTTTCAAGATATAAGAGGACTGCCAAGGCACCTAGACTCATTTTCTTCCCTTCCTCTTGAGGTCTTGGAGCAGAAACTATGGTACCATCACAGCAGAAGCAGAGCACCATGTCTTTTCAAAGAACTTTGTAATTAGTGGATTTGGTTTCTTGGTGACTATTTTGAGGGAAACGGTTAATAAACATGTTACCCCATGCATTGTTCTATTGTTGCTTTATTCCAGTCTCATTACTTTCTTGCGGCACGGTGTATATTAAACTTGGAAATCAGGTGGAGGAATCGATGGTTTCCAGCAATATCTCACCGCAAGAGGAAGTTTTGAAAGGAAATGTGGAGGAGTCCCAAGTGAATTAGGAATGTGCAATTCCGGGAAGAAACGACTTGCTCCATTTCCTTCAGTGCTATTCCCCAAGTCATGGGAGGCCGCAAGCTTAAAACGCGCCATGCAATCCTTTTTCCCCCACATAATTAAAAAAATATATAGTGAAATAATTTTTCTCTTCATTAATTACATACAGCTGTTGTCTCATCTCCTTAGAACTAGTGTCCACCTGAGGGCACGGGAATTTTGCTGCTCATTTCGAACAATTGGTGAGATAATGACCGTTCGCTTGATTTTCGTTATCGAGGTTGGCATTCCCATGGTGTTGCTTTGACCTATACATTCGCATTGCGTGGCATCACATCAATGGTGGTTGTTGACCGTGCCGCGTGCTTCTAATGCCCGTATGAGACCATGTTTTCGATGATCACGTTTGATTGCATACTAAGGAAAACTGAATGACTTTTGAGCGGAGTAGAAATGGCAATTCCTTATTCCGTACGGCCCGTAAGGGTTCCCTATGGGAAATGGATGCGTGGGCGTACACGTATATGCTTCCCATACGGCTTGTGACCTTCAGCCTCCGCCTGTCCATTCCCACTGTCCCCTCCCTCCCCCCCCCAAAAAAAAAAACCGCAGATTTTGTTTGTAATTCATATGAGCTTCAGAATATCTGAAACAGTTGATATTATTTGAAATCTAAGTACCCCTTGGTAAAGCTTATTCATTCCTCTTTCAAATGCAGAAAACCGCAATAAAAATATATGCATATATTTTACAAGGTCGGCCAACAAAACCAAAGCTATCATTTTTGGTAAGAGGTCAGTCACATTGTAGGTTGCCAAGTTTAATTAAGTTTGGTAGACAAATAAGGTGACCGGGTCCATTTTGTCAGTGATACTTTCTTTTGAATTCCAGTTCAGATGATGTGGTTGAAAATTGAGCGGAACCAGCTACACTAAAAGCCATATTTAAACTCATTTGAAATTTTCCTCTTCAGGTTATATGATAATTGATGAAGGAGTCTCATTGTGCTGTATCCTATTATGACAGAGCAGGAAAAAAAATCGAAGAAGTCAAAAGTCATCAAGATAGCGGAGAATAGAATGATATGTATTATATCAGATAATATTTTGGTGTACGATCGACTCATTTCGTTCTACCCATTCAGAAGGTCCATTTGAAGTCAAGACAAACTGCTCTAATAATGTGCATTCCTCTAAAGCCTTGCTCGCGTTGACCTGAATTTTAAGTTACGTCATGGGAAAAGGGAGGCGGCCATTGGAGATGCAGAAGACTTCGCAAGACAATTCCTTTGGGCCCCAAGTCAAAGGGGCCAGGATAAAACGAAGCAACAGGGAAGGAAGCGCTAAGAGGAATTAATGTGGCACATCTGGCAATCGGACTGACTGCGAGAAGCTGGAACTCCAGTGTGTTTGGGAAGCAGAGTTAGACGAGTATTCGTTTAATGCACCATGCTTAAAGTTTCGATATTGTTGTGCAATGAAACAGCGACAAACATGTGTCTTATTTACGTTATCAGAGATGTGCAAACCTGAAAACCTACATTTTCTCCTAATCCGGGCAAAAAGTAAAGCTGTGTAGTGAAATTAACTTTCTAATTCGAAATTTGTGAAAGGATGCAAGTGACAACTTTTCCTTCCTCTCCCCGATGGGATTTTGAAGTGGGGTTTTCATGGATTTCTTCTGGAAATTAATTATTTACTGTTGGACAACGTTTCCTGCCGGTAAATACAGGTGTGCCCTGCCGGGAGGGGGAGAGAGAGAGCTTCCTTGCAGGGCCTACCCACCTAGTTGTAGTCTAACGCAATAAATCAGTTGAACGTATGTTTGACATGGTCTCCGATCGATGATCTTCAGCCTAGTTGCCTCTGCCACGTATACAATCAAAGTCATTCTGTGCCTTCGCATGGACTATGAGCCATGACTTGGAACCTTCTCTCCTCCCGTGCAGCGAAGTCAATAGTCTTCATCGCTTTTCTTTATACCTGCTTACGCGGTGTGACCTCCAAAGATTTAGTTGTCCATCATGCCGCCCATCCGGGGAAGAGATACGAGAATATCACCTTTCAAACAAAAAAAGAGAATTTCAATACTTGCAGCAAGAGATGCGTTCTTCAGACACCCCCCTGCTATGCCTACAACTATCGTGAATCCGATGGTTCATGCCAGCTGGTTCTCAATGGGAAGAGTGACCTTGTGGAAGACAACGGATTTACATCCTACGTTCAGAGTGAGTCATCGATTTGGAAAACCTTTCCAGAAATTGACTGAGGGAATAAATGTGCCTGTCCTAAGCACAGGACTGTGTCTGACGGAGTATCCAAAGATCCAAAAGGCCTCTGTATCCTTTGAGGATTGGAGCGGAGAATACCCAGCTCCACCTAGTGGAAGGGTGGTTCTCCGTTGTCTAAATTCCGTATTCTCCGATGGTTCTCAACTCCACACGGCTGAATGCTCTTCTGCATTATCTGATTCTTGGTGCAGCTCCTTCAAGGAAGAGACTATTACCTGTAAGAACCTCGAACTCACTGTTTTAGAATGATGGGCTTTCAATGGAGCTACGAGGGGTGTTCGAAAAGTAATAGGAATTTTGAATTTTTTCCCAATCAACATATTTATTGATCATTATTTACACTTAACTTTTCAATATAATCACCCTGAAGTGCACTCCAAAGTTACTGTATGTATATATCTCAGCAAACATGACTCATCCAGAACTAGTTCTACAATGAAGGGACCAGTTTTCCTCTCGAAAACTGGGACAAAGAAACCATGAAAAAGAAAGGCCAAGGAAAATTCCTGAAGGACTCGCTTCTCCCCTCATTATACCATAAACGGTTAGAGTGAAACGTACATCTTCGTAGTTGGCATGGATTCCTCGTTCTTCCTGAAATGGAACTTGGTAATTAGGATATACATGCAAGGGAAATACCTGCGGAAAAACAGCGCCCCAAGAGTTATGCATGTTCATCGCCTGTTGTAAGTTGTAAGCCTGGCCGTATTCGTGCCTCAGTTTCTCAATCAGTTCTTCATAGAAGCCATGGTAGGAAGTTTTCCGCCTCTTGTTCGGTGGACAGGAGGAGATCCAATCGGGGTCTCTACTCCAATCGGGGTCTTTGCTCCAATCTATGGCTTTCCTCTTCGTGGCGTGCGTTTTTCCGCGAGCATGAGAGGCAGGGATATCCCGGATCACCGGTTCGATCCCACGTTCCCTCTTACTCAGCAGCAGTCTCTTGCGATAATTGTGGACGGTGAGATTCACGTTCGGATTGGGGATCTCTGTATTCTTCCACAGCTCCCGGACGNCCTTCCAGTCCGATGGTCATCATCAAGGCTTTGCCGACCACTCTTGAAGCGGTTAATCCAAAAATAAACTGTGCTTTTTGAGTCAGCAGCATCTCCGAAAACACACTGCAAGCGCTTGACAATATCAACAGTTTTGACTCCTTCCTTCCACAAAAAGAACATTATTGACCTTTGATTTTTCACCGCGTCTTCCATAATAGAAAAATAGCAAGGGACAGCACGGCCTATAACTCGAGAATGGACTGAGTGTATTGAATGGCATTGACAGGTCTTAATGCTTACATGTTGGCCTACGTATGGGCTGACTCTTGTTACCTTAGGTCTAATCGTTCTTGTTTAATAAATAAATTCCTATTACTTTTCGAACACCCCTCGTAGATACGAAAGGTTCACTTCTCTGAAAGAAAAGAAATGCTTTTTGGAGGTTTGAGACGATGGGCTTTCCAAAAACACTTCTTTTAGTGCGCAAGTAATTCCGAAATGGCTTAATTATTGTAGCACCCACCAAAATAGCTCGTTTTGTTCTCATTGACTCAGAGACTAGGTGTTAAGCGTTACCTAAATGCAATTTTTTCATCGGAAAGCTCCCTAGGGAAGCGTTTCACTGTCCGTATGAGTAAGACATGCATACTGTTTAGACTTCTTTTCGGAAACGATCCGCCTGTCTGAAACCGATTATTCGGCGAAGAGACTCATCTGAAACACGTATAATTTAGTGAATTTATTTCCTACGAGCACCCCGATGTTCACTCTCAAATGTTGTTTTAAGCGTTAATGAAGGTTGTTTTTCACCATTTGCTACATTACATCAAACATGGTATTACCAAGATTTTCTGAAAACTTTGTGTAATCAAGTCAGTTTTTTCCATTTTCATTCCACGTCTGAATTTTTCATGAGGCACAGCCAAATGTTCCATAGTTTCTGCAATTCTTGAGGCAAACACGCAGCTAATAGCATGTACTTTCAAGTTCATCTTAATAATTAGCATTATCCAGTGAGTCTCCACTTTGAATGGTACAAGCAAACTGAAAACAACAAATTAACATTTGTCACTCATCTGCCAGAAAATGAAGACGTTATGCAATGAGTAGTTTCACAGACCGGAAGACATCAGTAGGTAGTGAATCATTCAAACTTCTAATCAATTTCTTCTCATGATATTGGGCTAATCCATCAACGGTATTTCCTTCGTGCATAACGTTTATTCCTGCCTCCAGTTTCCCATGGAATGTCTAAATGAAAATGATTTTTTCCCTGAATGAATCCATGTTTCCATTGATTGTTACTAGTAGTTTATAATTTGCAGATACACCAGTGTATAGGTATCCAGAATGCCGGTTGACAGAAAAGGGAAGAGAATACATCGGGAAGGTGAGTAAGACGAAATCAGGAAAAGAGTGTCTGAGATGGGACATTCAGCCATACGGAACGCCCGATGATTTTCTCAAAGAAGTCATGTATTCTAACCACTTCTCCAACCTTGATACCTGGTCTCAGAAGAATTACTGCCGCAACCCATCCGGAAGGGAGAGGCCATGGTGTTTCGTAAGGGGAGATGCTAAATGGGAATATTGTGATATCCCCATGTGCACGGATACGGGTAATGATTCCATTATACTCCCCTCGTCCTCTTATATGTGCCCGCATCACTTGCTGTTCATAATAAATATATGCTATCTAAGGAATTTAATGTGGGTGAATAGATCTCGAAAGTTTTCAGCATCTTAACCATATCATCCTAATTAATTTACTACTTTAATTTGCCTAATATTGGTTCGAAGAGTTTCCTTGGCGATTTTTGCTTAATGGACCATATACCTTTTTCTAAACCGAAAGTAAACCAAAGCACACGCCCATTATCCAAGCCATTCCTGCCCGAGCTCGTCTGGCAGTTAAAACGAAATGTCGACGGAGTTAAAACGAAATGTCGTTGCATCTACTCCCTTTTGCATTGGATCATGAATCGGTTGAAATCCAGAGAATTTTCGCCATTTGGAGCATTTTGAGTGCATTCATTCCTTGCGCAGGGGCCACGAAGATTATATGAGCTTCTTCATATCTGCCTGTTTTGTTGGTGCAAAAATGTCAGAAAAGAAGCGGCCACTCTGAAAAAACACCTAAAAGAAATGCACTGTGTGGTTCAAAAATGAATGTTCTTGATCTGTCGCCCCCAATACCACTCGTGTATAACTTTTTAAAGATAATGTTTGGAAGATTCTCTAAGGCAAGAATATAACTTAAAAGCCTGTGATCTTATGAAACCCCGCACAAAAAGCCCAACGATTTAAGGTCTCTTGACCATGCTCATAGGAGAAAAAAAACCTTTGGGGATCCTTTAAGATTTTTTCAACATGAAATCTCATGGGATTATTATTAGATTCCTTCATGAGTCCGATATGATACGACAGTAAGTCTTTAAAATCCTACGAGATTCCTATGGGATTAGTATGAGAATTATATGAGATTCGTATGAGAATAATATCAGATTCGTATGAGAAGCCCCATTAAACATTCTTCGTCTGAAGTGGGATTTGCTTCATTATTCATGCACCACTACAGTATTCCATTTTAATTACTTTAACATTTTCTTTGTTAATCTCAACTTTTGACCAGTACTTTTATTCAGCAATGCTGGAAAAAGAAACAAGTAGCCAATTCATATTTGAGCAAAAAAATTCATTTGACGTAAAGAAAGATTATTTTCCTAAGACATGGAAATTTCAGGTTGAGCCAAGTCCGACAAATTATGTCACGTGCACGGTTTAGCAAAGGTTCGGATAGCATCAATGAATCACATAGACCCCAAGAAACGAGGTATTTACCCTAATTTCCTATGTGACTTCAGGTACATTCTCTCTCTTTAGAAGAACTACCTTAATGGTCTCTCAGCATCCCACAACGGACGATGTTCCCCAAGCTCCTTTTGGTGAGCGAGACTCGTGCCAGTTCAAATTCGAGAATGCAGTATCACAACACCGAGTCTGATGAAAAGATTTAATTTAAGAACTTAGTTAATTCACTGCTGTGGGTGCGTTCCTACCCTGTCTACCTACTGTTCCACTAGTTCTCATAGCGTCATGTTTCGAAACCATGCATAACAGTTTTCCAATGACTTTTTGAGGCCACCATGTGCATGGAAATGAAAACAGTCTTTCTTTTCTTACAACATCCGGATGATGGTCACTTTCTGTGGAGAATAAAAAGTTTTTGCAACTGAAATCTATTTAACGAACAGACCCTCCAGAGTGCAAGATAACTCAAAAGGGCGGTGAATACATTGGAAGGAAGAGTGTCAGCCATTCAGGATCCGCATGTCGACCTTGGGGGATACCTTGGAGGAGCACAACATCTGGAATGGGGACGTTCCTCTTACCGGCATTTCCGGACTACAAAGAAACTGCGGAGACACACAACTTCTGTCGCAACCCTGATGGACGCGTCGCTCTTTGGTGTTTCACTGAAAATGAAAATCGTAACGTTGAATTCTGTGATATTCCCTTTTGCGACATACAAGAAGTTCAAGTCGGACCCAAGGGGAACGTGTATCCCGAATGCAGACTGACTGAGAAAGGAAAGGAATATTTTGGGACGAAGGATGTGACTGAGATGGGAAAGCCTTGTTTCAATTGGGAATCTCAGCCTTATGGCATGCCATGGGATTTCTTCAATCAGGAAATGCCTTATCCAGATCACTTCATCAACGTTGACCCAGCAATCCACAAGAATTACTGTCGGAACCCATCTCTGTACAGAGAGAAGCCATGGTGCTTCGTCACTGACTCAGACATCGAGTGGGAGTACTGCGACATTCCCATCTGTCGTGACCTCGGTGGGTCCATCAATTCAATCATGGTGAATTTGGCGGCTTCACAAATTGAGTACACTTTTATTCACTTTTAGAGCCGCCCGAATGCAAGCTGACGCGAAGCGGCGGTGAATATGTCGGAAGGAGGAATTCCACCATTTCGGGATTTCCGTGCCAACATTGGCTGGCACGCTTTCCAAATTCTGAAGAATTCATGAAAAAATCACTATCTGCATTTCCTGATGAAGTTGATGGGAGCCACAACTTTTGCCGGAACCCCGATAACACAAGCCATGGTCCATGGTGTTGGTCTTGGCAATCGGGCAAAACGCTCGCCTGGGAATATTGCAATGTTCCATTTTGCCAGCAGACAAGACAACGATGCGATGTTCTTGTCTCGGGAAATTGCATTAGTGCATCATCTGCTTTGTTTTCTGGAGCATAATTGAATCTCTAACAATCACTTTCTCTGTCTTACAAGGAATACTACCGAAGTGATGATTTCAGATTTTCACCAAACTTTAGTCATTGAATGGGCTCTCAAAAGGAAGTCAAACGGCACCAAAACTTGCGGCTGAGAAGCAGGTTTAGGCTCATAACTGGCTCTCTCAATTTTCAGTGATACATGAATATTATAGTGACGGCCCTATTTCTTTGATTATAACTTTCCAAGGGAAAGTCAGATTCAGGTGATATTTGACGGAGAGGTTCTTCATTGAAGGAGGTTCTTTTCCATGCCGCTAGGTGGCGCTTTATGCCGATAGAGGGCAATGATGTCGGCAGCAGCGCCACCTACCTACTTGATATATAATTTTTTAGCCACAGGAAAAAATTCGATCAGGCCTATGAATCTCTCTGCCAATTATCAGCTGCTTCCGAGAAGTCTTTCAAAAGATATGGTTAAACAAAGTTGGATTTTGACCTAACATATCAACTTTTTTTAGTCATAACTTTTTAAGGAAAAGTCAGATGAAGCTGATATTTGACAGAGATGTTATTGTCTCTATGACCAATTCGTTCCCATTGTCCGGCGCATATTTGTACCTATTGACAGAGGGCGCAGTGATTGCATACACGAAGGTGAAATGTGCAGGAGCATGAGGGCTCTGCTTACAGAGTTTCTTTGTAATACCCCAAGTAGGCCATACCATTGAAACAACATTGATTCAACACTGATTCAACATCCAAACGATGAACCGGCGTTGAACCAAAGGTACGTAGTAAGAGCACATCACACGAGACGTTACTGCACTGAAAGTTTCATCTTCTCTTGGTGTGAGCGAAGTGAATGCTTGATGCATTTCTTTTTTGTAGGCAATTCCTATACACCGTATCTTACCTTTGCATATGCCACCACAGCGCCACCGGCCAACACGTAGAGCCTTGTGCTGGGTAAGGGAATGCATAAGTCATGGACACAATAACATCTCTGTCAAATATCAGCTGCATCTTACTTTTCCTTAAAAAGTTATGACCAAAAAAAGTCAAAATGTTAGGTGAAAATCCAACTTTATTTAACCGTATCTTCTCAAAGAATTTGCGGATGCAGCTGATAATTGGGAGAGAGATTCATAGGCCTTAACGAATTTTTTCCTGTGGCTAAAAAATGATATAGCAAGTAGGTAGGTGGCGCTGCTGCCGACATCATCCCTCTATCGGCTTGAAGCGCCACCTGGCGGCATGGAAAAAACATTCTTCACTGGAGAACCTCTCTCTCAAATATCACCTGAATCTGTATTTCCCTTGGAAAGTTATAATCAAAGAAAATAGTTCAGTGACTATAATAATCATGTATCACTGAAGATTGAGAGAGCCACTTATGAGCATAAACCTGTTTCTCAGCCGCAAGTTTTGGGGCCGTACGAAAAGGCTCTCAAAACGAAGTCAATGACCAGAGTTTGGTGAAAATCTGAAATTATCACTTGGGTAGTGTTCCTTCTTATTGGACCATAATTCCATAAGTTTTCCTCCTTTCTCATGCATTACATTCTACCATTGCTTCTTTTTAACCAGCTCCATTGGAGTGCAAGAAAAACCAAAAAGGGGACGAGTATATGGGAACGAAGAACATTACAAGATCAGGTCAGCTGTGCCTGCCGTGGATGAAGAGGCCAAACTTCGTTTATATTTCAGATTTCTATTTGAAAGTTAATTCATTTCCAGACGACTTGCATCCTTCTCACAATTTTTGTCGAAATCCTAATGGAGACAAGAATGGACATTGGTGTTATTATAAACATGGAATTAATCCCGTTATAGATTACTGTGACATCAAAGTTTGCTGAAGGGGTCGATGGCATCGGAGGGAGGGAAATACTTTACGCACTTGAGGTAGCAATTTTTGAAGCTTTAATGGAAGTCTGAATGAAAATGATGATTTGGTGTCCCTCCCTGCCACCTAGAACACATGTTGATCATCTGCGCCTCCCCTCATAGCCACGCTTATTTTGACAGACTCTTTGAAGAATGGCAATGAGCGGTATCATCATGTCTTTTCCCCCATTTTTCAACTGGAAGATCCGCGTGAGACCCTAATGTTGCAGTTTTTCATTTGGCCTTTTAATCGTTGGTCGTTTTTGTGAGTGAGAATGAAGCGAATTCGGTTTTTATAAGGAAATCTACTCAAAGTCCATACGAACGGAATGGCTGTTGTAGATGAAATGAACGAAGTGGTGAGACCGCATTAAGGATTGGCTTGTGTGCATTTTCCGAAGCCTTTTTTGTGATGTTACATACAACCTTATTACGTTCTCCTTTTTTATTTTTCCGTTTGACTTTGCCTGCGACCTTAGCGTGGAGTCGTTGCTTGTCATCGTCAGCCCGTTTACTCTTCGGCCATGCCTTGTGTATGTTCGTGATTACTTTAGGTTCGTCGCTGGGGTCATCCATTCAGTTCGAAGCTATAGGTTATTATGATTATCTATGCTTGCATGTTCTCTAACCCACAGGGCTGTGACACTTTTCCTGTTGGTCATATGTGTTCATCTGATGATTTCCGGGAATTAAGTATGGCTTCTGATGTTCAATTTTTTTTTGGAGTTTGAAGCAGTAGTTGGTTGGCCAGTTTGGTTGCACTGTTTTGGAAATCTGGGCGTTTTTTTTATTGTTTCTCTTCAAGTGAAATTAAAATGGGTGCATAGTATTCTATTTTGGAGTTAGTGAAATGTTTTTAAATATGATGATATGATGAATTGTGTTTTTTGTCGATGCCCATTGATATTGTATGAGGGATCTTGTGACATTTATCCGAGAAATGTAGGCATCTTTTCGTGAGCAAAGATTTTCCTTTTTAGTTGGACCTTTCTTCTTTTCCTAGCACAGTGTTTATTTGTGAACATAATTACTGTTGTTTTGTCTTGGTTAATTCAATATCTCTATGTGAGACAGTATCTGTGTGTGTATTCTCGGTCTTGAACTATGGTTTTGATGGTTTGGTAAATACCATAGAATTATGTCGTCTCTGTATTGGGACATGCATGAAGCATGTGGTTAGATTTTCTTTGATGTCACTCACGAATATGTTGTATAATACTTGTATAATGTATGTGACTGCTATTTGTGGCACTTTGGCATTTTGAAGTCAGGTTAGCACGGATTTCTTCTTGAAAGTAAGTACAGGGCTGGCCAAAATTGTCTCCCCAAAAGTAAAAGCACATTACTCAGGATGGATAGTGTACATTGTGACTGCTATTTGTGGCACTCCTGCTCTTGGCGTGAACATTTTTTGATGCTATCCTGTTTACTGTGATAGGGCATATTGCATTGTTTAAGAAATTGGGTACCCGTAGGATATTTATTGGCGATTTCATTTTCAGGAGTTCCTTTTTGAGTCGTTTGTGCTGAAAAGTGTTGACTTTTGTTTTTTTGTTTTTTATTGCCACCAGGACCCCCCCCCTATCTATTTCGGTGCCCTGGGCAATTCGACTCGCAACGTCCCCCGCCCCCCTTTTCGACAGGAGGTGAATTCATCCCTGGCGTCCGAAATGACGCTGCAACGGAAAGCATTTCCGCTTCCTGAAGCGAAACTCAGGTGGTGTCAATTATCACGTCTTACATTCAACCGCGTTTTCGCACCCCTGGTGAATTTGCACCCCCCGTGAGGGTGCACATGATGAACATGCATAATGTCGGCCCAGATTGCCAACGAACATTCTTGTTCGAATATGAGTATGCCTCATGCAACCTCATTACCGTGGTGTATCTCGTCCTCATGGCCAATATCTGTAATATATTGCGTCAGAATCGAATATTCACATAGAAGTTGTCACCGCTTCATGCGCTCGTGTCGCAAATTCTGACGAATATTAAGGTCGATTTCATACTTCAACATGCTTTTGTTAATCGCTTTTTAAATCTCTGATCCAGAAGTATTTTTCACAGTTAAGAAATTCGACTCGCGTCATTCTATGTTGTCGAGATCGAATGCCTTGAGGGCACTGAATTCAACTGCAGTGCCCCCAACCTTCGGGAAACGCAATTTTTCATGTTCGAAAAATATACCATTTTCGTCCATGTTTTCTTTCTGCCAATCGGCTGCGGCCGACGGTTCTTTACCATGTGGAAAAATAAAGTTTGATTGTGACCCGTAACCGAGCAAGTATATACGTTTTATTCTGCTGCGAAAATCCTGTCTGTGAATTTCCTACGCAAACCTGATCGTGAATGGAGGGTCTCACTTGACACAATATCAAAGTATGGAACACGTTCACTGTCAATCATGGTACGATGTTTTCCAAATGAATTCCCACCAAAATCAACATTGCGCTGAACAAACACGCTATTGCAACTGAATGCAATGGCGTGGCCCAACTGATATGGTGTGATATGGGAAGTGACGTGACGACACTAGCTATATATGTTCTAATTAAGCTTGAACGGTAATGGCTGCTGAAATCATTCCTATTTTCCTTGCTAATGAACAGAATTGTTTTCTGTGACGGTCTTAATGGTACATGGTCATCATGCAGTGTTTCCAATAAGAGTATGGTTTTATTTTATTGCTGCTTGCTATGACAATTTGAGTATGGTGAATGCCTTTGCCTGATTCTAGATTCGAGATATCGCGGTTTGGCTTTAGCCAAATTAACTATGGAATTTAAAATGTAATTGCGATACACTGAAAAAAGTTGATATAGTCTCAAATATTAAAACGGATAGCAATCGCTGTGAAATGCGCTGCAATAGTAAATAACGTGCAATACGAGGTCTGACAATAAAATAAGAAGACTGACAGCACAGTAATGCATGTAGCTACACTGGGTGTCTGGTTATTGCTGCCACCTCTCGGTGCATGTCTTAAGTCTGTGCAGTAAGGAACTTGTCGTGATACTTTTAGTGATTGCAGAGCAGTAACACTTTTCCTAAAGTAGTGTTTGGAGCACTAGTCAAAGAAGGGTATATTATATTATGAACAAAGAATCAACGTGAAATTTTAATTCAAACTCGGGAAAAAAAAACCTACTGAAATCTTTGAAATGTTGAGACAAGTGTACGGAGATGAGGTTATGTCCAAAGCAAAATATCTTTGAATGGTGTAAATGTTTTCTAAAGGAAGGGAAGAAGTTGAGCTTGACAGACGACCTGGACGTCCAAAAACTTCAAAATCGGACGAAAACATGGAACAAGTGTGAACTTAATTGAGAAGTGAACCTCGTCCTGCCTCGTCAGAATGACTGCCAAAGAACCGTGTGTCGATAGAGAGACAGTATGATTGATTTTAACAAAAAATTAAACATTTCAAAGACTTCAGTTGGTTTTTTCCCGAGTTAGATTAGAAATTTCACTTGGATTCTTTGTTTAGAATATTATCACCCACTTTTTTTGCGAGTGCCCCTTACTTTGCTTTAGATAATGTGGTACTGCTCTGCAATCATAAGAAGCATCACGACAATTTTGTTACAACACTGACTTAAGACATGCACTGACAGGTTACAGCGATCGCCAGTTACCTTGTGTGTATACACACATTACTGTGTTGTCAGACTCGTTAATTTATTGACAGGCATCGTACATGGCAATCAGGAACTCGGGGACATTTGACCACGCCCTGGAGAGTAATGAGTTTCTTAAATCGCTTCCCCTCAGGGGCAAACTTTGACGTTCGATGGACTGGAAAGAAGTCCCTTGCGGAGAAATCACCCCCGATCACATGCTGGGTCACATGTGAGAGGAACGTGATCTGTCATGTGATTTTCCGTCTCACACCCGATGTCACACCCATATCTTATCGGATTGGTGGTCTGCGCATGTGTCAGAAATAGAAACAGATGTATGCTAGATTTCTTATTAGAATTAGGAGGAAGCTCGGATGGTTCTGTCGGGAAAATAATTTAAAAAGAAGCAGTCTCTCCCCTGAAGGAAAGAGCCTTCTTGGAAATGATTTGCCTTCTTTACGGCGGCGGTCTCCTGGTTAACGTCACTTTCTCATATGTCCGTTTTAACACAAACTTCGGCTACACTTATCCCTATTGTCTCGGTACAAATATGTATCCTCTCTTTCGCTGTCGGTCGCTTGGTATCACTTTGTATTCAGACATTTTTCAAATATTGTTGCAACATTGAGCTCCGCCTATGGAATGTTGTCAGCATTCTTCTACCTGAACGAGAATGGCTTTGACGTTTGATGGCCCTCTGATCGGCCTGAAGTTCTGTGAGATATTGTTGCATCAAAAAGTAAAGAAGAAAGACAGTTCATTTTTCAACGTGATTCAAACTTGACAAAGGAAATGGCTGCGACCATAACGGTTGCACAGTAAATGATCGGTTGAGAAGGAAAAGACGTAGGATTTCGGTTCCCCCAGGTTAAAAGAGTCGAAAAGGTTGGGCTACATCCCAACGGGGGGTGGGGAGAGAGAGCCAATGATGTCAGTGCTATACATTCTCCTCGGCTGACTAATAAAATCTCCTTTTTCTAGTCTTTTGCTTCTCTGTTAAAAATGCAACATCGTTCAGTTTTTCTTGCCATATTGCCTTGCTCTTTGTACCTCAATTCTATTGCGCTTGAACGATTGCATCTCTAGATTGTGTCGCTGCCTCGTTCATAGCATTCGCAGATGCCGGTTCTATGTGCAGTCGCCGCCTGCTGGAACATCTAATGATTTTGGAGCGGACGGAGAGAAACGTTCGTTTCATCGTTTCAAAGGAACCTGAGTTGTGAAAGACTTGAGTGATGCGGTGGGAACGCGCGGAAAATGAAATTCCTGTAGTGGAATGAGGGAGGGATCCCAAAATAACCCTTTGGGTTCGATTGTCATCTTTCGCAGAGATGATCCAATCGAAATTGCAAGTCAAACATCGAGTATCCTGAATATCTGTAAAAACGCGGCTCCTCACCTGGATTCTCTTCAGAAATTCTCAGTTGCTCAGCAAGGGCAAGAAGTTGAGAAAAAAATTGAAGTCCATCGTTGAAGTTTGTGAGAAGAAATATCTTCATGGTGTTCGTCAAAATAACGCGATTTGCCATGACAATGGCAAATACGTTCCCTTCCTCTGATTTTGGGATACAGCAACACAGAACGAGGAATTCTGACAATGAACGCATATTTTCCTTGTCATTTTAAAAGGGCAAATGACACATTTCAACAATTTCCGTAAATAATTGAATCGAGTATCCCGTTTGTGACTATCAGTCTTTCGTCGTTATAGAGGAATTTGTTCATCCTTACCTGGATAGAAATATTAATTAGAAAGTTTTCGCAACATATCTGAAAGTCAAGCTCGCTGCCTACATCAATCCTTGTGCCACTATCAACTTTGTAAAGGCTTCTCAGCCGTTAACAAAAGTGACTGGACATTTAAGGAATTAAAGGGGTGCTATATCAGAAACAAGGCAAAAATGTCTATGTTGACTCATGCCAATAAGCATAAATGTACATAATGCCCGACTGGATTCCGTATAACACGGAGTAGCCAAGATCATGAATTTCCTGCGTATATTTATCTGGATGGTAGAAAACGCGAAATCATGCATTAATAGGCTCCCGTCCACAAACTGGTACATTAATTCTGTGTATTTTTTTCACTACGTATAATAGTGCAAGGGACGCTCGGGATTCCCTGATGAGAAGCTATGGTATTGAAAAAAGGAGAAATATAGCATACCTAGGTAGCATAATCCATTGAGTCAACGTTGATTTGGTGTTGAGCGAACGCATCACTGTTGAAGGTTTATACTACAATGTTGAATCAACATTGATTCAATGCGGTCACTGCCACTGTTTATACACACGCATTGGACCAAACTTTCGTCCAAAGTTGCGCTATTCATGGTGGACATATCAGCAGTAAATGAAATTGGTTCATTGGATTCTTGCGTTGTGTCAACCGTTCGGATTTTTTTTTAAAGTGCCTGCTCCATTAAAATGAGTATTTGCAATTACTTCAGCCGATCTGCCAGGAAATATTACGATGAAGAGGAACTATTGATTTAGCGTAAATAAGCCAGTGTCCTTAGCTCGAATTTCGTCGCATCAAACAGGCAGAACGGAATTTTCGGTCCACATGACTGGGAACTAGTTCCAAGACAATTATTTCAAAATTTGATTAAAATTTTTTTGTCATTCCTTGAAAGTGATACTGTACATGTATTTAGTTCCAAAGAATAATTCATATTGTTTGGTTTTCTTTAAAGGAAAATGTAACAACTGATGGGGTCCAATGAAATTTTGTTTTTATTATGCGTCTTTTGTCACAAAATACCATGCTGGATATGAGTTAAAGTAAGAAATGTATTCCTTACTTCGGTGGATGTCACTTGAAGGACGCTTTCCTTTCTAATGCCATTCCTTCACAAACGACGCCGGGGAAGGTATTTTGCATCCTGGATATATTCGACCAAAGTGGCCACCCAACCAAACAGGACCCAGGATATCTCTGAGCAAGGTGATTGTCACAAGAAAGTTAGCGCGGTCGTATTATTCCATGAGACCATATCGCCATGACTCTGGGGATAAATCTCAATTAAGATCACTCCCGAAGGATACGTGGAGTGACAAGTAGCCACTTATCAAATCATACGATCATTCAGGTGTTCTGCGTCGGGGGGCATAGGACATCGTCTCATCCCGGTATTAGGTTCGCGTTGACCTTCGATTGGAGAAGCTTTAAAAGTGAATTCGGAGGATGAAGATCGTCTCCAGATGATTTTGAAATTATACATCAATCATGAAACGGCGCATGCCCACAAATTAAAAGTTTGTTGAGACTTGTGTCATGACAACGTTGAACCATCGTGAATTCAATATTTATTTAAGGTTAAAAAAATGAAGTTCAATAAGTAGTTAAAATGGAATCAGCATTGATTCATGGTGAGTGTGCTTCTTGAGTAGATGAGTAACCGAATGATAAAGAAAGGAAATATTCTGCTAACGATTTTAGTGTCGGTTTCTAGGAGACGCCTAAATAAAGTGGTCGTTATGCTGCCCGGAAGGTTCCACTGGTATGTGGCCGGGCAAGAGGGATAATTCATGCCTGCACGTAGGAGATGTAAAGCAAATGGAAACGTAATTTAGTTCATGAGTTGCAAAATTGGAGAATGGCAGATATGGAGAAGGATACTCGCGAGTTTCATAATATCTCTGAATTTTTTTCCGACTCTATGTGCACCCCAGTCGTATATTATGAGCAAAAAGATCGTGCTTGGGGGCAGGGAGGACAACCAGGCGCCTAGGGACCCCCCGTCCCTAGGCGCCTGGGGGGGGGGGGAACAAGTTTCTAAGATGAAAAGAGCGACAGAACATACATTAAACAGGTCTCGATCTCGATCAAAACGTTCATGAACATGGTTGACATCTTATGAGCGTCTTATCAATCGCCGATTTATGTTTGTATTTTGCCAAATTCCAATTTCCATTAAAGCATTGTGCCAATCGATAATGTCCATACGAGTAGGCGAATCTCGACCGAATTCCGCAAGAAAATTTTGCTGATCAATCCCGAGAGCTTTTGTCCATTCGTAAAAAAAAGGAGTAACGTTTGCCCGTTGATTAACCAAAAATGACATCGAAAAACGAGAAAAATGGTAACATTTAAACAGACAATAAGCTTAATACACGACACGAAAGACATGCACGAATGCACAACATGTAATAATGTAGTTTCTGAAAACTTCAGGTCAGATTTCGATGAAAATTTTTTCAAATGAAATCCTAAGGTGTGCACTAATTTCCGTTAAATGCTTTGAAATAGGCAACAATTTACAAAAGAAATAGCCCAATAAAGTTCTATATACTTAAATTGTCACCCTTTATTTTCAATTATAATAAATATATGTTATCTTAGGAATTTAATGTGGGTGAATAGATCGCGAAAGTTTTCAGCATCTTAACCTCATCATCCTAATTCATTTACTACTTTAATTCGCTTAATATTGGTTCGAAGAGTTTCCTTGGCGAGTTTTGCTTAAAGGACCTTATACCTTTTTCTAAACCGAAAGCCATTCCTGCCCGAGCGCGTCTGGCGGAGTTGAAACGAAGAGAAATGTCGTTCCATCAACTCCCTTTTGCATTGGATCATGAATCGGTTGAAATCCAGAGAATTTTCGCCATTTGGAGCAATTTGAGTGCATTCATTCCTTGCCCAGGGACCATGAAGATTATATGAGCTATTTCACATTTGCCTGTTTTGTTGGCTCGAAAATATGTCAGATAAGAAGCGGCCACTCCGAAAAAGAAAACCTAAAAGGAATGCACTCTGGTTCAAAAATAAATGTTCTTGATCTGTCGCCCCCAATACCACTCGTGTATAACTTTTTGAGGTATGGATCTCATCGCGAAGATGCCATCACTAGCTAAATCCCTCGTGATCGTCTACGTAATTTCCGGGTTAGAATGGAATTTTCAAGATATTGGAGGACTGCCAAGGCACCTACCCAAGTAACACAGCATGTTGATGAAACGTTTCCGAAATGTTGCCTATGTTCGGTCCAGTTCAGGACCAGTGAAGCCTACGCTTCTCCGTAATGCCAATATAGGCCCAGATTAGGTGCCCGTGAAGCAACGTTTTTAATCAATATTGCATCAACATAAATCCTGAAACGTATCTGCAAGGTATATGTAACGAATAAGTAGCGATTTGCAAAGTAATTACAATGTTCCTTCGCAACATTTGAGGAACGTTGACGTTTTGGACATTTACAAATAGATGCAACATTGTTCATCAACATTTCCTAAACGTTCCTGGAATATCTTGTGCTACTTGGGTAGACTCATTTTCTTCCCTTCGTCTTGAGGCTATGTCTATGGGCGTTGCGTCGTTGGGAAACCTTCAGATTCCTTCGGATTCCAGGATGAGACTCGCGCGAAGGTCTCGAAGCAGAAACAATCACAGCAGAAGCACAGCACCATGTCTTTTCAAAGAACGCTGTAATTAGTGGATTCGGTTCCTTGGGGACTATTTTGAGGGAAACGGTTGATAAACATGTTACCCTATGCATTGTTCTATTGTTGTTTTATTCTGGTCCCATTATTTTCTTGCCGCACAGTGTATATTAAACTGGGAAATCAGGTGGAGGAATCGATGGTATCCAGCAATATCTCACCACAAGAGGAAGTTTTGAAAGGAAATGTGGAGGAGTAGCAAGTGAAGAAGGAATGTGTAATTCCGGGAAGAAATGACGTGTTCCATTTCCTTCAGTGCTACTCCCCCAAGTCATGGGAGGCCGCAAGCTTAAAACGCGCCATGCAAACTTTTTTTTCCACATAATAAAAAAAATATAGCGAAAAAATCTTCATTAATTACATACAGCTGTTGTCTCATATCCTTAGAACTAGTGTCCACCTGAGGGCACGGGAATTTTGTTGTTCATTTCGAACAATTGGTGAGATAATGACCGTTCGCTTGATTTTCATTATGGAGGTTGGCATTCCCATGGTGTTATTTATTTTGAAATCTAAGTACCCCTTGGTAAAGCTTATTCATTTCTCTTTCAAATGCAGGAAACCGCAATAAAAATATATGGATATACAAGGTGGGCCAACAAAGCCAAAGCAGTCATTTTTGGTAAGAGGTCAGTCAGATTGTAAGTTGCCAATTTTTACTAAGTTTGGTGGACAAATAAGGTGACTGGGTCCATTTTGTCAGTAATACTTTCTTTTGAATTCCAGTTCAGATGATGTGGTTGAAAATTGAGCGGAACCAGCTACACTAAAAGCCATATTTAAACTCATTTGAAAATTTCCTCTTCAGGCTATATGATAATTGATGAAGCAGTCTCATTGTGCTGTATCCTATTATGGCACAGCAGGAAAAAATCAAAGATGTCAAGTCATCAAGATAGCGGAGAACACAATGATAAGTATTACTAGTGTGTCAGATAATATTTTGGTGTACGATCGACTCATTTCCTCATACCCATTCAGAAGGTCAATTTGAAGTCAAGACAAACTGCTCTAATAAGGAGCATTCCTCTAACGCCTTGCTCGCGTTGACCTGAATTTCAAGTTACGTCATGGGAACAGGGAGGCGGCCATTGGAAATGCAGAAAGCTTCGCACGACAATTCATTTGAAGTCCAAGGGCATTTATGGATTTCATGGATTCAGGGAATGGAACAATTATTAGTAAACAGGACCGTCCGGAAGCCAGGAGAAAAGGGGCCAGAATAAAAGGAAGCTACAGGGAAAGAAGCGCTAAGAGGAATTAATGTGGCACATCTGGCAATCGGACTGACTGTGAAAAGCTGGAACTCCAGTGTGTTTGGGAAGCAGAGTTAGACGAGCATTCATTTAATGCACCATGCTTAAAGTTTCGATATTGTTGTGCAATGAAACAGCGACAAACATGAGGTATGATTTACGTTATCAGAGATGTACAAACCTGAAAACCTACATTTTCTCATAATCCAAGCAAAAAGTAAAGCTGTGTAGTGAAATTAACTTTCTAATTCGAAATTTGTGAAAGGATGCAAGTGACAACTTTTACTTCCTCTCCCCGATGTGATTTTGAAGTGGGGTTTTCATGGATTTCTTCTGGAAAGTAATTATTTACTGTTGGACAACGTTTCCTGCCGGTAAAGGCAGGTGTGCCCTGCCGAGAGAGGGAGAGAGAATGAGAGAGAGAGGGAGTTTCCTTGTAGGGCCTACCCACCTAGTTGTAGTCTAACGCAATAAATCATTTGAACGCATGTTTGACATGGTCTCCGATCGTTGATCTTCAGCCCAGTTGCCTCTGTCACGTATACAATCTAAGTCATTCTGCGGCTTCGCATGGACTATGAGCCATGACTTGGAACCTTCTCTCCTCCCGTGCAGCGAAGTCAATAGTCATCATCGCTTTTCTTTATACCTGCTTACGCGGTGTGACCTCCAAAGATTTAGTTGTCCATCATGCCGCCCATCCGGGGAGGAGATACGAGAATATCGCACTGGAAACAAGAAAAGAGAATTTCAAAACTTGCATCAAGAGATGTGTTCTTCAGACACCACCCTGCTATGCCTACAACTATCGTGAATCCGATGGTTTATGCCAGCTGGTTCTCAAGGGGAAGAGTGACCTTGTGGAAGATAACGGATTTACATCCTACGTTCAGAGTGAGTCATCGATTTGGAAAACCTTTCCAGAAATTGACTGAGGGAATAAATGTGCCTGTCCAAAACATAGGACTGTGTCTGACGGAGTATCCAAAGATCAAAAACGCCTCCGTATCCTTTGAGGATTGGAGCGGAGAATACCCAGCTCCACCGGGTGGAAGGGTGGTTCTCCGTTGTCTAAATTCCTTATTCTCCGATGGTTCTCAACTCCACACGGCTGAATGCTCTTCTGCATTATCTGATTCTTGGTGTAGCTCCTTCAAGGAAGAGACTATTACCTGTAAGAACCTCGAACTCAATGTTTTAAAATGATGGGCTTTTAATGAAGCTAGATACGAAAGGTATACTTCTCTGAAAGAAAAGAGTTGCTTTTTCGAGGTTTGATATTGATGGGCTTTCCAAAAACACCTATTTTATTGCGCAAGTAATTCCGAAATAGCTAGATTACTGCAGCACCCACCAAAATAGGTCGTTTAGTTCTCGTTGACTTAGAGACTAGGTGTTAAGCGTTACCTAAATGCAATTTTTTCATCGGAAGGCTCCCTAGGGAAGCTTTTCACCTTCCGTATGAGTAAGAAATGCATACTGTTTAGACATAGACCGAATATTCGGCAAAGAGACTCATCTGAAACAGGTATAATTTAGTGAATTTCTTTCTTAGGAGCACTCCGATGTTCACTCCTCAAATGAAGTTTGAAGCCTTAATGAAGGTTGTTTTTCACCATTTACAACTTACATGAAAGAAGGTATTACCAAGATTTTCCGAAAACTTTAAGTAATCAAGTCAATTTTTTCCATTTTCATTCCACGTCTGAATTTTTCACGAGGCACAGCCAAATGTTCCATAGTTTCTGCAATTATAGAGGTAAACACGGAGCTACTAACATGTACTTTCAAGTTCATCTTAATAATTAGCATTATCCAGTGAGTCTCCACTTTGAGTGGTACAAGCAAACTGAAAACAACAAATCAAAATTTGTCACTCATCTGCCAGAAAATGAAGACGTTATGCAATAAGTAGTTTCACAGACCGGAAGACATCAGTAGGTAGTGAATCATTCAAACGTCCAATCAATTTCTTCTTATGATATTGGTCTAATACATCAACGGTATTTCCTCCGTGCATAACGTTTATTCCTGCCTCCAATTTCCCATGGAATGTTTGAATGAAAATGATTTTTTTTCCCTGAATGAATCCATGTTTCCCTTGATTGTTACTAGTACATTATAATTTGCAGGTACACCAGTGTATAAGTATCCAGAATGCCGATTGACAGAGAAGGGAAGAGAATACATCGGGAAGGTGAGTAAGACGAAATCAGGAAAAGAGTGTCTGAGATGGGACATTCAGCCATACGGAACGCCCGATGATTTTCTCAAAGAAGTCATGTATTCTAACCACTTCTTCAACCTTGATACCTTGTCTCAGAAGAACTACTGCCGCAACCCATCCGGAAGGGAGAGGCCATGGTGTTTCGTAAGGGGAGATGCTTAATGTGAATATTGTGATATCCCCATGTGCACGGATACGGGTAATGATTCCATTATACTCCCCTCGTCCTCTTATATGTGTCCGCATCACTTGTTGATTATAATAAATATATGCTATCTAAGGAATTTAATGTGGGTGAATAGATCGCGAAAGTTATCACCATCTTAACCATATCATCCAAATTAATTTACTACTTTAATTCGCCTAATATTAGTTCGAAGAGTTTCCTTGGCGAGTTTTGCTTAAAGGCAAACCTTTTTCTAAACCGAAAGCAAACCAAAGCACAGGGCCATTATCCAAGCCATTCCTGCCCGAGCTCGTCTGACGGAGTTGAAACGAAGAGAAATGTCGTTCCATCAACTCCCTTTTGCATTGGATCATGAATCGGTTGAAATCCAGAGAATTTTCGCAATTTGGAGCTTTTTGAGTGGATTCATTCTTTTCCCAAGGGCCATGAAGATTAAATTATGTGAGCTTTTTCCTATCTGCCTGTTTTGTTGTTGCGAAAAGATGTCAGAAAAGAAGCGGCCACTCCGAAAAAAGACCTAAAAGAAGTGCACTGTGGTTCAAAAATGAATGTTCTTGATCTGTCGCCCCCAATACCACTGGTGTATAACTTTTTGAGGTACGGATCTTATCGCGAAGAAGCCATCACTAGGTAAATCACTCGTGATCGTCTACGTAAAGAATTCTCTAACTTTTTGCAAGACGAATTTTTCTCATGGGTGAATCAGGCCAAACTGGAGCGATTGCTTGTCTTTAGACTTTACAATTCCATTACTCTGACAATAATGAACCTGTTAATGCGAAATGTGGAACATCAATAAGTTATGCCAGAGCATTTCTTTCAGTATATCAATATTTCGGCTGTGTTTGAAGCATTTTTATGGGACACACCTAATAGAGAAAATTGAAATTGTCCCTCCCCTAACGCGTCTTTGCCTTAGTACACTCAGAACATTCCTCTATCAAACAAATATTTGTTCTTTGATTCTTCTTCAAACAAATGGCACAACATTCCAAAAATACGAGGGTATTATTCATTTTCAGAATGCACTTCAACTACTATTAGAGTCAGTGTATCTAGCTTTGGCAAGGATTATTGGTGTCCTCAGATTTGGCACTTTTTTTCTGTCCCATACGTAATGGTGGTGTCATAAAAAGGCGATTGAAAATGGTGAGCTGATACTTTTAACATGAAGATTTCATCATACCTACAGGAAGTACACATCATTAGAATCATCATAGTTTTGAAATATTTTTGAAAATTGTATGCTTTTGCTTTCACCCGCAAATATAAAGCATAATTGTCCTTACTGTAACACATGCCTTGCATGCTTACCCTGTTAGATACAGGACTACAACTGCCCATGCTGATGGGCATTGCTGCGCCATGATAGGAGACAGCGTGATAAATTTGTACAAGGTCGGACATGTTAGAGGCGACATTTCAAATCAAAATTGTTCCACCCATAACAATGTCCCTCCTGTAACGTTTTTTGGTAACACTTTCAAAACACAATTAAACACATTGTGGCATTGTTGATGATAGTAAAAATATTTTTTTTTACCATTTAAAATTAAACCATTTCAGAGATACCACAAGACAAAATTATTGACAAAATGACCAAATTTGCAACTCTTTATTTATGTCTTACACAACCTTCATTAAGGGATCAAATGCAAGTTCTTAAAAAGACCTTCTTATTGATATGCAACATGTATATTATAATGCAATATTTATTATTTAATCTTATTACAAGCATCCGCAATCCTTGTCTCACATGTAACTTTCGTTAAGGATTGGACAAAAGTTTCATGGGGATGCAGAATGACTTGAAATCTTGAGTTTCATTCCGTGGGGGTGGTGAATTGGGTACATGCCAACAATACTACAACAATCAAAACAATTTCGACCAACGGTTACCCTTTCGACTCCTGGTGACATTCCCTGAATCTCACTATTTAAGAGTAGCCAGGGATGACCAATAGAAAATCAAGGTGACCGTTGGCAATCAAAAGTGACCTAACTTGGTCATTCTTTTCAAATTTTAGCAAACTTTTATCGCCTTAGGAAAATGAGGCCCGAGTTGGGTCAATCGAACAGTTTGGGTCTCTTTGGGTCACCATGGGCCACCTTGGATCACTTTTGGTCAACTCTGACTACTATTAAATAGTGAGATTCACGGTAGGTGACCATTGGTCGAAACAGGTCGCTCTGTGCAACTGTGGGTCAAATGTGCCATTGCTTCTATTTTCGTAAAAGTATATATCACTCTCAGATAATTAGGCCCATATTCAGTCAATTGGACAATTTAGGCCACTTTGGGCCACCATGGGTCACCCACTATCATTTTGGGCCACTTGAACCAGTCTTTGAGATTAAGGTAACTCAGTAGTTTCTGCATCATCTCAGATTAGCTTGCTGGTTTTAAACAATCTTGGCTGGAAATGATCCACGTGTTATTTCCATGATTCCTGACTTTTGTAACACACTGTATTTACTGGATTTTTGTCAGAAGTCAGTATTTTTTTTAGCATCAGTGTTATTTTTAGAAATTCAGATATAAAAAAAATGTAAATCAAAATGAAAAAGGTAAAACTTATGAGACCATGAGACTGAAAATAAGGTGTCCCACCGATAACAAAATTTGTTTGCTGTTGGGACACTTAGGCATCTGTCTCCAATTGCTCGGCTTGTTTCCATTTATCTTCAAAATTTTATTTTGAAGAATGTGTGTCCATGTCAAGAAAAATAGCCTGAATAATGACCATTGATTCATATCTGAATCTCCATGATGATTGAAATTAGATTTCATCGAAACATTTGTCCCACCCAAAACACTTCAAAGCCAGTATTTGAAAAACGTAATGAGGTAAAATTCAGTTGTACTCATGTTTCATGTGTATATGAGACAGGAAGTCCACTCCACAAATACCATTAAGCTGAGCTAATTCTACAAGTGTCACAGTCAGAGCCAAATACAGATTGACAAATGAAAAGTTCTACTATAGGATTGGTCGTTTTTATCTCAATGAAATTGCGCCTTTTTGGCCTGATTCACTCTCATAAGTAAAATAAATGCTTATTAAACAAAGGAAATTGATGTGCCCTAGGGGTGACATTACTATTACACCTCAATATGTCTGCCCCAATCACCCAGCATGTCTCCTAATGGTTGATCGTCGCCCTGAACACGTTATGTAACTTTGCTTGTGTTTTGCATTTGATATCGGGGTGTAGATAATGTTTCGAAGATCCTGTAAGGCAAGAATATAGCTTGTAAAAAACCTGGGATTTCATGAAACCCCGCACAAAAGCCCAACCATTTAAGGTCTCTTGACCATGCCCATAGGAAAAAAAAAACCTTTGGGGATCCTTTAAGATTTTTTCAACATGAAATCTCATGGGATTATTATTAGATTCCTTCGTGAGTTCCATATGATACGACAGTAAGTCTTTAAAATCCTATGAGATTCCTATGGGATTAGTATGAGAATAATATCAGATTCGTATCAGAAGCCCCATTAAACATTCTTCGTCTGAAGTGGGATTAACTTGATTATTCATGCACCACTACAGTATTCCATTTAAATTTATTTAACATTTGCTTGGTTAATCTCAATTTTTGACTAATAAGTTACGTCAGCAATGCTGGAAAACACAAGTAGCCAATTCATTTTTGAGCAAAAAAATTAAATTCCTTTGACGTAAGGAAAGATGTGGGTAAAGAAAGATCATTTTCCTAAGATATGGAAATTTCAGGACGAGCCAAGTCCGACAAATTGTGTCACGTACACGGTTTTGCAAAGGTTCGGATAGCATCAATGAATCACATAGATACCAAGAAACATGGTATGTCTACCTATGGTATGTCCATGTATACCTAATGATGTCTAATGGCGTCATGTTTCGAAACCATGTATAACAGTTTTCCATTGACTTTTTGAGGCAACCATGTGCATGGAAATGAAAACAGTCTTTTCTTACAACCTCCGGATGATGGTCACTTTCTGTGGAGAATAAAAAGTGTCCAATAATTGAAATCTGCTTAACGAACAGACCCTCCAGAGTGCAAGATAACTCAAAAGGGCGGTGAATACATTGGAAGGAAGAGCCATTCAGGATCCGCATGTCGACCTTGGGGGATACCTTGGAGGAGCACAACATCTGGAATGGGTACGTTCTTCTTACCGGCATTTCCAGACTACAAAGAAACTGAGGAGACACACAACTTCTGTCGCAACCCTGATGGACGCGTCGCTCCTTGGTGTTTCATTGAGAAGGAAAATCGTGAGGTTGAATTCTGTGACATTCCCTTTTGCGAGATACAAGAAGTTCAAGTCGGACCCAAGGGGAACGTGTATCCCGAATGCAGACTGACTGAGAAAGGAAAGGAATATTTTGGGTCGAAGAATTTGACTGAGACGGGAAAGCCTTGTCTCAATTGGGAATCTCAGCCTTATGGCATGCCATGGGATTTCATCAATCAGGAAATGCCTTATCCAGATCACTTCATCAACGTTGACCCAGCAATCCACAAGAATTACTGTCGGAACCCATCTCTGTACAGAGAAAAGCCATGGTGCTTCGTCACTGACTCAGACATCGAGTGGGAATACTGCGACATTCCCTTCTGTCATTACCTCGGTGGGTCCATCAATTCAATCATGGGGAATTTGGCTACTTCACAAATTGAGTACACTTTCATTCGCTTTTAGAGCCAACCGAATGCAAGCTGACGCGAAGCGCCGGTGAATATGTCGGAAGGAGGAATTCCACCATTTCGGGATTTCCGTGCCAACATTGGCTGGCATGATTTCCAAATAATCAAGAATTGATTAACAGCTCCCTATCTGCATTTCCAGATGAAATTGATGGGAGCCACAACTTTTGCCGCAACCCTGATAGCACAGGCCATGGTCCATGGTGTTTTTTACGGCAATCAGACAACTCATTCGCCTGGGAATATTGCAATGTTCCTTTTTGTGATCGGACAGGAGAACAATGCGTTATTCACGTCTCGGGAAATTGCATAAGTGGTTCTTCTGTTTTTTTTTTCTGGAACATTTTCGAATCGCTCACAATCACTTTCCCTGTCTAATTAGAACAAAATTCCATGAGTTTTCCTCCCTTTTTTGTGCATTACATTCCACAATTTCTACTTTTTAACTAGGTCCATTGGAGTGCAAAACTAGTCAAAAAGGAAAGGAGTACATGGGAACAAAAAACATTACAAGATCAGGTCACCCGTGCCTGCTGTGGATGAAGAGGCCAAGCTATAATACACATTACGATTTCTATGTGAAAGTTAATTCGTTCCCGGACGACTTGCATCCTTCTCACAATTTTTGTCGGAATCCTACTGGAGACAAGAATGGACATTGGTGTTATTATCGACATGGAACTGATCTCGCTATGGATTACTGTGATATCAAACTTTGCTGAAGAGGACGATGCTATCGGAGAGAGATTCACCCACTTGAGACTACAATTTTAGATCTTTTATGTAAGTCTGAATGAAAATGATGAGATGATATCCTTCCTTTTCACTTCCTAACACATGTTGAACATCCTCCCCTCGTTGGCATGCGTATTTTGACAGACTCTTTGAAGAATGGCAATGAGTGGTATCATCATGTCCTTTCCCCCATTTTTCATTTGGAATATCCGCGTGAGACCCTAATTATCCGGTTTTACATTTGATTTTTCATTCGTTGGTCGTTTATCTTGATGAGCGAATATTCTCTATGTGAGACAGTATCTGTGGATGTTTTCTCAGTCTTAATGTACTATGCTCTTGGGTTTAGTAAGTGTACCTCAGAACTATGTCGTCGCTGTATTGGGACATACAGCATGTGCTTTGGTTTTCCTTGATATCATTCATGTGTTTGCTGTATAAAACTTTTATACGGTAGGCTATTGATATTTGTGGCACTCCTGTTCTTGGCGTAAAAGGTAATGATGTTGTACTGTTTACTGAGACACGGCATTTTGTGTCGCTCAGAAAATTGGGCACCCATGGGATATTTATTGATAGTGAATTCATTTTTAAGTTTCTTTTTGAGTCCGTCGTGCCATATGGTAACGTAGACTTCTTTAATGTCTAGGAAAATTGCTAAATGTGTTTATTTCCACCAGGACGGGTCCACTCTATTTCGGCGCCCTGTGCAGCGAGTCTCCTAACGCCCCCCCCCCCATCCCTCTGGACGAAATAGGGGGTAATCAATAACGGCAGAAATGACGCCGCTGTAGAAGGCATTTATTCATTCAAAAGTAAAACTTAGGATGGCATGAATCATGCCATTATATATTTAACCACGTTTTCGCGCAACCTGTGAATTTGCGCCATGTGCAGGGGCACATCATGTACAGGTACATGCCTAACTCCGACCCTGATTGTCAATGAATACGCGAGATGTTACCAGTGGGTAGAAGGGACGGGATGACGGAAGGCATGAGTGGCCGAGGGAAAGCCAGGGAACAGCTGGGACTTGAATTTGGTCCTCCTGATAGCATGTCATATGCTACCATTATAACACCGAACCCAGGACATTCTGTGTTCCTTCTCTATGCCATCCTCATCCGCCATATTTTGGTGTGTATACTTTTACAAGTATGTGTATGTTGTCTGCTATGAATTTCCCTTTCTGGAAGCCGTATTGTCATTGAGTAAAAATTTTTTGTCTTGAAAGCAGGTGGCGAGTTTTCTCATTATAATTATAATCATCACACCAAGGAAAACAAGTTTTTCTGGGTGTGATAATAGACGTATAAGGCAGTGTCTCGCGCTTGTTGTGTTAGTTAAATTATGAATTGAACTGAGTGGCATGATTGGACTGGACTGCGTTGACTTTCGTCATAGACAATGCTCGAGCGCACGGATTATTCCTCTGGACTCCACCCGCACCATTCATTTTCTCCCCCTTGCTGTCCCTGATTGAACCCCATCAAGTTCGCGTTCTCACCTTTGACAGCAGAAGTGAAGAGGTGGATCGGTAATATGCAGGCCCCTGTAGGTAACCAGCAAAGGAGTGTGCCCAGTTTCGGCCCTTAAATTGATATCAAATATATGTGTATGTTTCGAGAGGGCGTCTTAAGCCAAGCCTAGAAATATCCTTTTTTCAAATCTAAGCAATTTGAAAAGGTTAAGTTATGTTAGGGAAATGTTATGTTTGCCCATTGTTGGCCTTAAACACGATTGATGATTTACACACACACACACACACACAACGGCAGCCTTCGGATTATACGAGTATATACAGTATACTAGCGGCCTGCGGCCGCTACGCTGGCCGTCTAATAGGTAGAAAATTGAATCGTTATTGTGAGCATAACGTCTCCTTCATCTCTGTTCATCGCATTACCCATTCGGAACTGAACCACTTCATTAGATTTATACACAGGCAGCTCACAGTTCACAGGGAGATTTTGTTCCTAAATACCATCATCATGATATTCGAGCTCATTGCCGCAATCACCATTATGAACGCCTCCGTTTAGCAGGTTATCATGAGATTCAAGACGACGTTGCTGATTTTGTTGTACCAACACATACAATACTATTGCATCATTTATTAGCTCATGGGCTATTAACATTATCTTATAGTACAGATACCCCTGATTCTGAAACAGTACGGGCCATTTCCAAGAACTTGTTCGAATTTAGCACAGAAGGAAGTTAGCGCATGTGCAGCACAATACTAACGAATAATTCCTGAAAATGCCTCGCCAACACATTAGCACCAGTGAGCAAAACTTTCAGAGCCTCAGGATGAAGCGTGAGTTGCAGCAATACGAAACAACTACCTCCTCCATACAGCAAAATGTACAGCCTGACATTGCTCGCTGCGGCAGACGACTGTAATTATGGAGATGACGGAGAGGCATGACACAATTTCCCGAATTCCGTGATGTAATGGTAATACACCTGACCGGCAAGCAGGAGGTCCGGTTTCAATTCCCAGCCGACCCTGCTTTCCCGCTTTCGACACCTGAGTGCTGCATTCCTTGCATAAAATTGCTCAGCAGGCTGCACAGCTCTCCTATTCTTGAGCGCAGCATTCGATGCCTTTTGCTGTTCAGCGGTCTGAGCGGCCTTACGCTCCCCGCCTGGAACTGGGTACTGTTCATCACTCATTCTAGCCATTATGGCTAGCACCTCCTAAAGCACAGATTTAGGCACTTCGCACCGCAACTGCAGTGGGAAACGTTGTTTCCGCGCCAGCACCTTTCGTATTTTATCTGCAGCGACAGCCGCATCGCCGTCCTGTGGGACCTCCTTCAACATTTATTTCATGTTCAACTTCACCTCGCAAAAATCGCGACAATTTTGATGGGAGGAGCGCGACGTATGAAACAAAGAACTTACATGATTATTTTGACTTCATCAAACATGAGAACTTAAATAAATCGGTCATGACATGAAACGCAAACAGAAAACTATTGCATGGAAGAGATGGTCCGAACCGCCACGCCTGACCAAACGAAAAAAAATACAAACGGAAAAAAACACTTCAGCAAAGATGGTATTCAAATGGAGAACTTGCAGTCCATCACTGAAAACATGACACGCATTCAGGTAATAGGACCCTTTGATTGACACATAAGTCCGAAGCATATGGAAATAATGGGATGAGCCACAGTCTATGGCTAAGGCTGACATAGCCCAATCGACCTGGCGTTAAGAGCATTGGATGGTCAAGCCGATACCATAGCCTTACGGACCTGGCGCTTTGAGCGTTGGATGGCCTATGCCTCTGGCCTGAAGTGACAGTCTCGTAGGCTTCGCGCGTTGGGGTGACAACTACCACCACAACTTTCGAGCTCTTCGAATTAAAGTCGAAGATGATGGCTTGGAAAGGCGCAGCCTTGAAGGCCTGGCCTATGATACAGAATGGCATTGCATCGTTGGCCCGCACGTGGGGGTGACAGCCACGACCACGACCACCACCAGCACCATCACAACTTTTGACCTCTTCGAATTAAAGTGTTAGATATATATACAGTATAGCCGAGTCGGAAGGGTGTTTTGTATGGCTGCGCATCGTCTAGACACATGTTAACCTCCGTATTCCACTTCATCGTGCCGTGGAAGCCTCCCCCCTCCCCCAAATGAACCCTCGGGGCAATGCATTGACAACCGAGGGATTCACACGCAACCGCCTGAGTGCATTGCCTCATCGCCACTTCACCTTCCCTCCGACCCGTGCGAATGGCTCGTGCGTCTCGAAGGGATTCCCATGTCACCGCTTACTTCATTCTTCGAGTCCAGTTTCATACGGTGTTTGTATTCCGTTTGGTGCGTCGGTGGTGCAACACGTATCGTCAATATGAGATCCGACTGTTAACTATAGACATTTAACAGTCCTTTAAGAATACATGAATTCCTATGGGAGAGAAAGAGCTCCTTCGCTAAAAGCCCCGTTGTCTCCCCTGAATGAGGTTCGTGTATTTGGGCTTTATGCTCAAAAGCCACTATATTCCCACAATAGTGGGAATATAAAGCAAAGCAAATTTCGATGTGGCTGAAGTTCATCACGAAATGTTCAGTGCGGCAGAAGCACACGATATACCTGACCTATACACGCAGAATCAAATTAATGCATTCTCGTCGAGAAAAAAGTTGTCCTCTATGTGATGCGTTTTTATCGCATCCATCATTTGATGCGATAACCGCATCAAAAATTCGATACGATAAAGACGCATCACATACAGGACAGATTTTTTCGCGAGAAAAATCCATCGAACTGAGGCACTGAATTTTCTGTGTGCATTCAACCGAACCGAAATGAATTCGCTCGCAACGGGAACCCAATTAAAGGGATTTCCCAATGCGAATGCAACCATCCCTGTGAATCGGTCCGTGTCTTCCTCTATGTAGGGAACAGAGAGAGAAAGTGAGAAAAAGGGCGGGATAATATCTGGCATCTTCATGACCCGACGTATCGTTAATTAGCATTTTCATGACGTAGAGGCACTCGGGAGAGGATTGGAAGCGATTTCCTGAAATTCCTTCGGGAAACGTAAGGCGATTCCCTCTTGCTCAGGACGAGATTCAAGAGCCCTGGGAAAACGGGTCTCGCGAGGAACGGAATGAAGGGGCATCGTCCTCATCACCTCCTCCTTCGTAGAGGGAACGGAGTGAGGTCAACCAGTGGTTTCAGAAATCAATGCACAAGTCTTTTCGGCTTCGTCAACGAAGACGTGGTGGAAAGGGGGCTTCCGGGTCTTGAGGATCTTCTCCACGTCCATAAGCACGGCAGACTGAATCGTTTCGGGCAGTTCCGACGGGCTCGAATACACCTTAAATTATTAAATGACTCGATGAAGTCGCCTGTGGTGTGGCAGTCACCATCAACTTTCCCTCCTTTAAGAAACATTAAATCGAGGAACTCCATGTCAAAAACCTAATGCGTTTTAGATTACTAGTTCAATTCAAATTTACC